GGATTGGTGGAGGAGTGGATTATAAAGGCTTATTCGTCTTACTATGAGAGCAAAAGAAGAGACACTTTAGTAATAGTGCAATACCTGAAGAAGGAGGTTCAGGGAGTGGATGTAGGTCGTATTTAACTGAACAACTAATAAATTTTTGTGTCTTTTAATTTTTGCATTTAGTTACTGCAAGTTTATTTACTATGGTTGAAAAGTTATTTTAAAACTTAAATTAACTTGCTATAAAATTCAAAACAATTTTCTATTTAAAAATCCAAGAGAATTTTTTAAATTACCAATTTACCCCCCTTCTCCTCTAGTTAGCATTGGGACGATAGCTTAGGTTTAATACTTATATGGAATCAATAATAGTTTCAAAGCTTTGTTTCAAAACTATAAGTTTAGACTACTTTTTGAAAAATGAGAATAGCTACTTTTGGAAACTGAAACACACTTGAAGGTATTTGATCACTAGACCTCTATTATTGACAATATCCATTTCAATTTTTAGAAAAACATGCATGTCTATATTTTTACAATCACTTGATTATCGCATGTGAATTTTTGTTCAAGAAGATATACTAACCAGCTAGATTAGTTATTGGTATTAGAGTTGACCACTTTATTGTTTGGACTGTAAAAGAATTTGATTTAGCACAATTAAATACAAAATATTTCAATAGTTTATTTTGTCACTTAAGTTAAAAATTACATGCGGCTTTCTACTAGTAAAAGTGGAAATGACATATGGGAAAGGTTTTTATTACTTATGAAAGGACTAATGAAGTAAAGCAATCAAGATTAATTATCTTGTTATATGGCTATGAATTATTTTGCATGAAAACCAATAAATCTAATTCTAAAATATACATAAGATTTACTCAATTAGTCACTTATTTGTATGCATTATGTAGGGAACTAACGAATGCTAAAATGGTCAAAAAAATTCTTCGTTGTTTCGCTACTACTTATGATGCTAAAATAATTGTGATTATAAGTCTAATGATTTAATGTTTACTCTATTGATAATCTTCTTGGATGCTTATGAGTAAGGAGTGAGTTAAAAGAAGATTGATGTAGGAGAACAGAGAAAGGAGAAAGAATATATCACTAAAAGTGGTGATTCAGAGAGTGATAATCATTACTGAGAAGAGAGGATGACATTGCCTTATGACAGGGCAATTCATGAGTTTTCATAAAAGGAAGCAAAGGAGATGCCAACAGTGGAATAGAGGTAAGTTCAATAAAAATATTAAGGTTCTAATATGTGATTTGTTATGAATGCAGGAAACTTGGACATATAAAATAAGATTATGCAAATCTAAAAGCCACTCCTAGCAAGGAGAATATAGAAGAGGAAATAAATGTGAAGAAGGTCAAGAAGAGATTTCAAAGAGCCTTCTGGCGCTCGATTCAAATTCGTCAGAAACAGAAAAGAGAGGAGTCACCAACTGTGTTTTAATGGTTGATGATCTTGATCAGTCAGATCAATAAGAGGTATGTGACTTGACCTATGCTGAATTACTTAAAGTTTTCGAAAGATACATGATGCATATAGAAAACTTAAGAAAATGCATGCTAGATTGAACTTCTGGTGGTCTATGGTTCGTATGTTCATGCTGCAGCGGATAGGGGTAGTAATATGGGTAAGGGTAAGGAGGGCGGGGACCAGTGAAGGACCAGCTGCCTGTGATGATAGTGGGGGGTATATATGGATAGAATGGAGAAGCATGTGTCTGATCTGGAGAGGGAAGTGGGACTCGTCGAGGGAGGAGGGTAGTGGCAGAGAAGTATGGAGGTACAACAGGGGGTGGATCTAAATGTCCCTGACCTGCTCACTCGGGGACTGCTGCGGCCTAGGTGGTGGTGGTGGTGTAGGTACATCACAGGTGAACTGAGGTCTCACCTTCATAGGCTGTGTGGCTCTACTAACAGTAAACTTCTTCCGCGGAACTTTGAGGAAAATGATTTACGAGGAGGATCATCGCTCTGAAGCATCTGTATTAAAAGAAACATTTAGTAAAGCATTGTAATATATAAAAAGTAAATAAATGAAGCAATTAATATCGCCCTCTCTCTACCCCTCTCTCTTTCTCTCTAACTATCGCTCTCTCTCTCTCTTGTTCCCTCTCTATCCCTCTCACTCTCTTCTCACTCTCCCTCTCTTTTCTCTCTCCCTCCTCTCTCTTTTCTCTCTCTCTCTCACTCTCCTCTCTCTCGCTCTCTCTAACACTTGCTATCTATCTATTCTCTTGTTCTCTCTCACTCCTCTCTCTCATCTCAATGCTAGCTCTTGTTCTCTCTCTCTCCTCCCTCTCTTTTCTCTCTCTCTCACTCTCGATCTCTTTTCTCTCTCTCTCTCTCTCCTCTCTCTTGCTCTCTCATATATCTCTCTATCTATTATACTCTTGTTCTCTCTCTCTCCCTCTCTCTCTCTTTTATTCTCCCTCTCTTTTATCTCTCCCTCTCCTTCTTTTTTCTCTTTCAATCTCTCTCTTCTATCTTGCTCTAACCCAAAGTCACAATTAACAAATTAGATCCATCATTACTAAATGAACATTTAATAAATAGAAAATTAGATCTACCAAATGATTACAACATTACCTCTTGCATATGCCGAAATTACTACCTAAATCATCCAAAATATTAAAAACTCTTGCAAATGTCTAGGTCAAATAATCAAGAAAAACTTAAAGAATACCTTAAATTATTGATTTTGTTCAACTCATATGAAACTTAGGGCAGCCGGCGGCGTGAGATTCGGAGTGAGATCGACGGCGGCAAGTCAAAGCAAAGGTTGACCGAGCGAGAGGCGGCGGTGTGGGGTCGGGGTCGGAGATACTTCGTCAGCGGCGACAAACGGAGCGGATCCAGCGATGCGGCGGAGGCGACGGGAGAGCGACCGAAACGAGAGAGAGAAGGGAGAATAGAATGAAATGCGAGTTGCGGGTCTGTTCGTTTTAGGGCATTTACCGGTGGTATTCCAGCGGTCCGGACCGCCGGTACCATTATAACTAATCAGCGGGGCGCAGTCGCCGTTAAACCGCCGGTTTATATTGACGTCCGACTGTTTGCCGGCGGTTGTTAGACCGTCGCTAGTACCGGCGGCTTTAAGAACAAACCCACCGTTTAGGCGGCGGTGAAACGCGGAAAACTGCGTTAAATAGCGGTCAATAAACCGCGGTTAGAACCGCCGGAATCAGCATTTTTCCTGTAGTGTCAGTCAATGTACTCAACTCAAATTCTAGTGAAATCTTTTCAACTAGGCTAGGCTTCGTGGTTTTTCACCTTTCAGGATTTTCCACGTAAAAAATCTTGTGTTTCTCTGTGTGTGAGCTGGATATCCATACAATGCTAAGATATAGAATTAAAACTCTTTCGCGGCGTATATTTTGCATGCAACAAGGTTATTGTTATTAATGTATGAAATCTCACCATATTTAAGTTTTTCATTAACAATGGCTTCTTTTTCTAAGTTCATGATAATGCACTTTCTTTTATTGGATTGGTTATTTTAATCAAATTGCTTATAAAAACAGTAGTTAGCATCCAATACCTTCTTTAAAAAAGGTCTTCTTTAATTAGGCTTTTCTTATAAATAGGTATGACCATCAAGCTAATTGGAATTTTTGATTCATCTTGCCTCAATTTCTCATATTGATCATTGCTAAACATCAACGCATATACTTCTTCTTATTTAGTATTTTTCTTTTTGAAGCCATATCTTGAAGATTAATTAGGTGAAAGGTGCCTAATTTCTCTTCTTTTTTTCCAGCATATTTTTCTTAAATTTATGTTTTTTATATTTATTTTTTTTATTTCTAAACAAGCCTGCAAAATAGCATTTTTTCCCCTTCAATTTTCGGTTTTCATAATAATGTCACATAAAACTTGTTATTTTGGAATTTTCAAATAATTTATATATATTATATATATATTATATATATAATATATAATTATTTTATATATATATATATAGTCTATTAACATAAATAATTTAGATAAAAATTTAAAGTTAGAGACTTAGCTTGAATAAGTATAAAAATTGACTTAAAATAGATGAATTTTTTCTTTTCATGAAGTAGCCAAAATGACAATGACATGGGGGAGAAGATAAAGTACAAAATAGAGAAAATGTGTTGGAATATTTTGATATATTGTTATTAAATTTTTAAAATTATAATAGGTTAAAATAATTAATCATTATAAAAATTTAATTATCTTTACAACTTCTATCATGACCATGTGCCTCTCAATTTTTTATTAATATTTTTAAATTTATTATACTAATTTTGAACTATTATCAATATTTAATATTTTATGGAAATAAATTTATGAGAAAAAATATTTTTAAATTTTGGTATTAAAATTTTAACATTTTATCTTTCAAAATAGTTATAAATATTATATTTTTCTTCATGCAAATTGTTAGATAAAAATGAATTAATTAATATGCATTTTTTTAAAAATTTAATTATTATAATTTTTAAAATATAAAATAAAAAATAAATTTTGGAGTTACTTTTTTTCATATAAATATCTTTAAATTTTTTACCCACTTAGATAGGTTTAGCTGAATAAGACAATTATATATATATATATATATATATATATATATAATATATATTTCTGGCGATAATATAATTCAATGGAATTTAATAATATCATAAAA